AGAGAGAGAGAGAGAGAGAGAGAGAAACATCGTGTAGGAGGGAAATTTCCAAAATTATTAGAATTTTCATTAAAAACGAGACGATACTTGATGAAAATATTGCTCCTAAGTTAATTGGTCAAGTTTGGAATTATTTTTGGTACGAGTCAGTTTTGGATCAATCGGATTGTTCCCGAAAATTGTTCGTGTTTCTTGATCTTTGAACTTGATTTTTTTTACACCTCGTGTTCCTTTTTTAAAGACTTTATACATTACGAATTTTGCTTCTTTTTTTACTTCTGTTAAAATAACTTGTCACTATAGAGGAATCTGCGATTTCGATTTTTGTTCAAGCTTTAAAAAGGAGGGGGGGAAGAAAAAAATGAAAACAGAACAACGAATAAACAGGTCAGATAAGTTATCTAGACGCCACGTTCCTAGAGTTTATTTATGCTTCAATTCGATCGGGGGCAGCCAGTATAGGCTGCCTATGTATAGCTACAGAACCGCCTTAGTATGATGAGAAGGTATCGCGTGACGATTCGATCAGAGGGAATCGGATTGGTAAAAATAGAGGAAAGAAATTTCTAATGGAATCAAAAAATAGAAGCTTGTAACCGTCCCTCCGGTTCTAAAAAAATGAAACGAAAAATGAATTCGAAGTATAATAACGCGACAAAGACATTTCGTCTTCTAGTAATAAATGTAGTGTATAGATTTTTTTAATTTTTCATTGAGCTTAATATTCAGCTGTCGATTATTAAAAACATTTTTTTCTTTTGATTAATTAAAAAAAATCACTTGTCTTCTGTATAATGAGAAATATTTTTAAAAAAAAAAAAAAAGGCTACTAGAAGGCTACAATAAAAAACAAACCATCGCATAAATTAGTTTTACACCGGCCAGTCGACAACGATAAATAAACGTTCTAACTAGCATGAACGATGGTGCATCAAGCCAAATAAGCTTTGAGCCAGAATTGCGAGCGAAAGGGCATTAACATCGGTTTCTAAATTCGTAACTTTCGTAGACAGCTTTCAACGCGATAAAATATCACTTAAGATTAGTCATATTTCTCTTAAAAAAATTTCTATCTTTATTGTTCATTTTTTATTTTCCAGTCCTTCGCAAAGCATTCGACAGCTTTGACAGGGAGAAGAGTGGTAGCATTCCCACCGATATGGTGGCTGATATTCTCAGATTGATGGGTCAACCTTTTAATAAAAAGATTCTCGACGAATTAATTGAAGAAGTCGATGCCGATAGTAAGTAATTCAAATCCAATATCGATCAAATGTTATTATGATATCTAAAATTATAATTATTATGATAACTTAAGATAGATATTATAATTGGTATGGTAAAAATAAAAGAGTAAACTAATAAATTTCTGAATGAAATTTTACTTCTTTCTTCATAGAATCTGGACGTCTCGAGTTTGAAGAGTTCGTTACGTTGGCAGCGAAATTCATTGTTGAAGAAGATGCAGAAGCACTAGAGAAAGAACTTCGAGAAGCTTTCAGACTCTACGATAAAGAAGGTAATTTATATGTTTACCTGTATAATTTTCATTTATAATGTAACCTTATTTTATAATTTTATCTTATTTTTCTTTTCATTATCTTGCATTTTTTTTATATTGTTATATTGTTCTAATTTGTTTTATATTTTATATGGAGAAAATATAAAAATGTAGCAAAAAAATGAAAGATTAAGTTTATCATGCTTTACTGTTTGAACCAAAGAAATTTTTGTACATAATCTTTCTATTTCAATGTTATTTTTGTTTTTTCTATTATTTTTTCAACTTAATTTTGACATTAATTTTTTTATAATATTTATTTATTTATTTTTTTTTATTAAAATATTAACAACAGATAAACCATTAAACTCACTATAATCATTTGCGATTTTTGATAAATTAGGGATTGAAATAGTAGACAGAATAACAGAAAAATGGCGCGAAATAAGAATAAAAAAGATATATTAAACGGCCGAGAATAGCCAATTCTCCGAAATTTGTGCTGCGTAAAAACAGTATCGGTCTTCGTTTCGTTTCATGGGAATGAAAGCCGACCGAATTTGAGAAGACTTATGCCTCCGGGAATACGGCCAAGAAATGGGCTCGTTTCGTCATCGAAGTCTCCATGAATTACGATCGAGCCAAAGACTTTTAAATGTACATATATTAATGCGACTATTCGTTTAAGATTTTATCCTCTTCATTAATAGATAATGATAAATCATCTTTTTCAATTTTATTATTGAAATACATCGTTGATACTTAAACAGAATACTTAATTCGTTATAGGAAATGGTTATATCCCGACTACATGCTTACGTGAGATCCTTAGGGAATTGGACGATCAATTAACAGATGAAGAACTGGATATCATGATTGAGGAAATCGATTCTGATGGATCTGGTACTGTTGATTTTGATGGTAAGAAAAAATATAATAAATTGATAAATATATTTAAGGTCGAATTGAATTTATTTAATTTGATAGGTTATATTTATCGAAACTATTCTTATTGTAATCGATATTATGAAAGTATCTTTAATTATTACTATTTCAATTCATTGTTGATAAATGTATTCATAGAAATATAGTTAGTAGTCAATTAAATAATAGTAGAGCATTCGTTGTTATATT